AGAAAATCTTTAAAGTGTTCGAAGAGTTCAAGAGGTTAAAAAAACCTAAACATCATCTTTATGATGTTTTGCCTTTTATTGCAATACAAGATTTTGGTTTACAGTTGTACTTATTATTGTTTTTATTGAAGTGACTCGATTTTAAAACCCAACGCTTCATTGCATACTACAAGCAAGGATGACTACCAGTTTTTGAAAATTCTACAGGGCAATACAAACACAAAGGAGCAGGAAAAGAAATAACAGACATAATTATAAGAAACAACGGAAAACAGAAAAATTAACAAAAAACAAGAAATGACTTGGATTCAAGGTGTGATTCTCTTCGGGTCGCGAGGGAACATCGACGCAAGGCGAATATTATGTAAGCCAAGGAAAAGCATGGTAACTCGTTCCAAACCTACAATCAACGATAATGTCATCATAAATTCCTCGCTACTTTTCAAGATAGGTATTTGCAGTGCAAGCGTTAAGGCTTTCACAACGCCCAGTTGGTATCTGAGTAAAGCCGTGTGAAAACGTATTCACTTAAAATGCTTTTACGGGTATAATGTATGGAACAAAATTATAAATTCCTAAAAAGAAGGTATTTGTTTTAGAAAGGGTAACTGCACTGCTTAAGGACGCCATGAAAAAAGTAAAAGAATAAACTTACCAATGCCACCGCCTGCATGAGGCGGACATCCGTATTTGAATGAGTCAATGTAGGCCTGTATTTTCTCGAGTTCAATCTTGTGGTGTTTGGCTCGCTCCACAAGAAACTCGGCATCATGAATTCGTTGAGCTCCAGATAAAATTTCCTCGCCTAAAAGAGCATTAAAGAGTAATTCATTTAACCAACAGATCAGAACTACTTTTAAGGAACACCTCTCATAAACATATCGTAGCTATTGGAGTATTTCGGATCATGTGGGTCAGGCATGGTATAGAATGGTCGCACAGCAAGAGGGAATTTGTCCAATATGTAGAAGTCGGTTTTATATTTTTGCTAAATGAGTAAATGATATGAAGCGAGTGTGATAAGCGAAAAAGGTTTGCACGTTGACTTGTGGCAAAGACTAACGATTATTGGTTCCAACACAAGTTACAAGTCAAAACACTCTTTTTAAAGAAAAAAGTGTACTCTTCTTACCTTTACTAAACGACCAAGTTGTTTTTCTACTGGTGTACTCATATCCTCTTCGTCCCCAATTTCAACGCCATCTTCGCGCAGCATCGTCAGCGCATCAGAATACCTAAACAAAGCTTATTTAGTTATTCACTCGTAGAACTACACAGAATAGAAATATTAACTAACTTAAGAACAAGTGGTGGTTCGCAAAACTCAAAAGGCTCTGCAGGATACTGCCGTCCTACTGTAGCGATCGCGTCAGCATAATCACGTTGTAGACCTTTGAAAACGTTTATCAGAACTGCTCCAATGGTCTCTAGTACCTAAAACCAGATGATCCAAGATTTGATAAGAATTGCTACTGAAGCA